GTCCAAGTCAATCTGGGATCATGCATTACCCTCGATGTCCTGCGAGTTGTGGATCTGAAGTACTGCACTGGCAATGGCAATGGACAAGTGAGAAATCCTTATCCTTACCTTTCTTGAACCAAATGTTGGGGGGTACCCGAGCTTCTGCCCAAATCATCCCTGCTGCCTTTCTTGCCTGGCATCTCCTCTTTTGAGTGGTTCCTTTCTGAGGGTGCGGAAGCTAAAACAGAGCCATGGATCAGTAAATGTTTCTGTCAGGGACTTTGAGCATGGATTAATTGTGGCCCGACCTCTTGCAGTCATCAACCTCTAAAGGCAGCAGATGATAGCTGCCAAATGCTGCAATGATTCACGGAATCCTTAAAATAATTCTTACGGCCTCTGCCCAACACCACAGCCATGATTCTGGGTCCTTTGGAAAACACTGAGGGCAGTGCAGGCGCTCCCCCGGGCAGCACTTCTTCCATTGTAGCAGGGATTTTTCAGAAGCCTTGGGGACATCACTGTCTCCCTTCAAAGGCAAAACTTCTTTCCCTTGTCTTTTTAGTCCCAGCAGATTCCCGGTGACATCTTCAACAACACGCAAGGCAGCATCTTCAACCACACGCAAGTCATCATTGGTGGCCAGTCCCAAATTGTGACCATCAATAGGCAATGGCGTGTGGCAATCATTGAGCAAAGGAGCTTCAGTGGGTCCTGGAAAACCGTCTGGAACTACAACACGGTGAGTGGCAGCGAGGGGATTTGTTCATAAAGTCTATGAGGAGATTGGCTTCTGGTAGAGCTGGCCCATGAACGGGGCTTCTTTCCTTATTCTGACTATGATGAGTGCACTGTTTGCTGTAGGAACTCTCAGAATGTGTTTCTGTTTTAATAAAGGGTTTTCTCCAGTTCCATCATGTGAAGGGCTGACGTGTGAGTGCTCAATAATTTTATTTTACAGGGTGTCATTGCAACCAAAGTCACACAACAGAACACCTGCTACATTTCCATCATGAACAGAAATGAGATGCCCAGCTTCAACAATCTGGCCCACCTGGCTGAAGAGAGCAGGGTAAGGTTCTCAAGGAGTAGCAGATTCATAACCCTGGAGATCACTGATCATTTTCTTCATGTGCCTTTTCCTTCTGGACAGGATGAGGTTTTCACAAGTGGCAGGATTTTCTTTCTCCCAACAGTAGTGCGTTTTAAGAATTTTTCCAAAGGAATACTTGGCCGTAAGGAGAAGGAGGCTATATAATTCCTTTTCCCCTCCTCTCTTTCTCTGAGGATGTTGAGCTCTGCAGCTTGCTGAGAAACCCTGATGTGACCAGCCCTTCAAGGGCCTTGATTCTCATGGCATGCGAAGATCTCAAAGTCCTACACAGATTATTCAGTACCAAAATCAATTGGTCAGCTATGAACTTGGCATTGCAAATGCTCATTACCTGACTCTCCTTTTCCTTTGGGATGTGAGAGAGCGACTCTCTGTTCCACAGACTTTCCCCTAGGGAATATTCTTAGCAGAAAAGAGATCCCAGCACTGATCTTCTTGAATGCTGTACTTTCTT